AGAATCAAAGAAAATAAAATAAATAAACTGACATATATGAAGATAGAGAAAAAAAAAGAAATATATTTAACGATTATTATATTGCATCAGGATTTGGTTGATTATTATTTCTTTAGAACGTTGTCGATTTCGGTATTTAAATGGCTAACTAATGAATTCAAATGCACAATACGTCTAAAAAAAATGAATAAATTTTTTGAATTTAATTTCTAATAAATTTACTTTAGTTTTTTTTTTAATCTTTTTCTTCATGTTTATCTTTATTTAAATAATCGGTCATGTTAATTTCAATTACTTCATTGGTGTTATTATTAAATTTCATATCGGCAATGAAAAGTCCATCATGTTCGCCAAAATTAACAACAATTGTTTGACTACCTAATCTGAATTTGGCTTGATTTTCAGATGTACCAACAAGTTCAAAATCTTTCTTTTTCATAGCATAGTTAAATGTTGTTGAATACATTTGGTAATCGTATTGAAAAGTATTATTATGAAGTGTATTCCATAATTCTTTGTGTTCACAAGTTGGTGGAGGATTCGACATTTTTTTTATCTTAAAAAACAAAGTAAATTTTTATAAATAATATCATATGAAGATGTTTGATTAATAAACATTTGTGATTGAGATATCTATGCAAAATAAATTTTGTTTAAATCAAGGAGGAAAAGGCGGATTTTCGGGATTGCCAATCCATGAAAAATCCGAAAAAAATCCTAAAATCCAACAGCAATGTCCTCTTGTAAATGAAGAAATTTCGACCTGGAATTTTTCCCATATGTAGACCTCGTGGTCCTTAGAATATCCTAAAAGTTTCAGCGTAAACGGATGTTTCCCTCTCAAGATAATCAATATTCAAGAAAACTGGATTTTGTGACCATGCTGTGAAATATGACTATTTCTTGCAACCGGATTATCTTGAGAGGAAAACATCGGTTTGCGATGAAACTTTTAGGATATTCTAAGGGCCATGCGACCTACATATGCGAAAAATTTCAGGTGGAAATTTCCTCATTTACAAGAGAATATTGCTGTTGAATTTTTGGATTTTCAAAATCCAAAAAAAATCTGAAAATCTCAAATCCGCCTCTTTCCGCTTGGTTTAAATAAAATAAAAAAATATTTTTTACATTTGATTTTTTTTTATTTATAATATGATGATATTCATTCAATTGCTAATACTCGTGTTATTAATTCGAAACATGATAGAAATTTTTCATCAATTAAAAGATATATATCGATATAATTTAAAAATTCTTGACATCTATTTAATAGATAAATAAATAAACAAGAAATAAAAGAAGAAGAATTTTTTTAGTTTTCTCTGGTAAAATTATTATAAAGTTCGTTTAAATGATATTTTAGTATTGTTGAAAAAGATGATTGAATATAATCAATTGGTAAATATTGACAAAGTTCTATAAGATTTTTCAAAACATTTGTAACTGTTGATTGTCGTACTACTCTATAAGTTTTCATAGTATTTCGTAATTGATCATCTAATTGTTCACTCTGGTGAAGAAGTGTTGTTTTTCCTGCTGTTTGAAAAAACGTCGCAGCTAAAACAACAGGTGATGTACTTGTTAAAACATTATCATTTTCGATAAATTGATAAAGTTTATCAGAAAATGTTTTTGATTGTAAATCCGCATGTGCTTCCTATAATAAATAAATTGAAAAAAGAATTCTTTTAATAAGATTTCTTATATTACTATTTATTAAAACATTTCCAAGATTTTGATAAAGTGATAAGACTAAATCTCTTGCCGTATTCATATCTTTTCGAATGATTTATAATCTCTTTCGTCTAAAAAATTTTTTTTTAAATAAAATCTTTTTTTCGAAATAAATTTAACCTTTGAAATAATTAAGATAATGAATGATTTGTTGTTGATGCTTGTTTAAAATAATCTAAACATCTTTTCATAATATTCTTTTTTTATTTCTTGTTCATTAGAAGTTTTATCTAATTCATTTATATCATTAACACGTTGAATTAATTTATTCATTGTACGATTAACTGATTCACTAGGAAATAAATTTTTATTTGAAAATTTTTATTTTTTTGTTTTACCCTAAATTAATCCAATTTTATCGTATTTCAATTTTATGAAGATGAAACATTCGTAATAAAGAATCTTTTTCAACTTGATGTTTTTTAATTGTTATTTGTTCGTATAAATTACTTTGTCCACTGTAAAATGTAGCAAGAACACCTGTATCATGACCAGTTCAATCGATTAATGGGTCGTAAATAAATAATTCAAGTAAATTAAGTAATATTTTTTTTCCATCACGTAAAATTTCAAGAACATTTTCTGATGATAAAGAAAATACATCTTCAAGTCCAGCAATACCAACAGCATTTTGTAAATTTTGTGTTAAACGATATGAAACTTCTTCTGGTACATGTAATTTTTTACTTTTTTCAAAACAAATATTATAATCAATATGAATTATCTATATCAAATAAAAATTCATTTTAGAAATACAAAAAAATTCTTTTACTTGTTCAGATTTTAAATCAACAAGAACATTATCAAGATGATGATCACCTAAACCGATCATATATCCAATCATTGATGTTACAACTAATGAATGACTAAAATTTAAAACAAAAGTCATTATGAAGCAAGGGAGTATTTCATATCTACTTATAGTTTTCAATATTTTTATACCATAATCCTCCAACATTTGGACAACAACTACACCAGAGTTCACTAAATATATACAAAATAAGAACAGAGTGATAATAAAAGGGCAAAATCTAACTGTGATAAACGATCAGCTGGTGTTTCACGTGTTAATTCTTCAATACATTGACATAATATTGTCATTGATACTTCTCGACGATCTTCTACTGGTTATTTACCCTAGATAAAAATTCAATAAAAATAAAACTTCGTTTTTTTCTTTACTTCTTGTTAGCGGATAACCTTCGTATTATATTCTTTTTCTTTCTCTTTTCTTGTTATCTATTTCTTTGAAGTGATATATCTCAGGTCATTTTCTTTATTCTATTCTGTCCTTAGGTTTTGAACCCTGGACAGTGAATATATACATATATATGTCTTTCATTTCTTTTTTTTCTTTCCTTTCTTCTAGTCAGATCTTTCTTTGATGTTATATAACCTTGATCACTCTTTATTGTTTGTCCTTACGTTTAATCCTTGATCTTGTTCACATATATGAGTGAATCGTATTTTTGTTGTACAATTAAGGGAAAAAATTTAAGTTATGGATTTTATTCACCATTGTTTGTTGAGTATGTGGCAAAAATTTGCCAACTACCACGCGTCAAGAAGCCAAGATACCTCTATATCAATGTCCGTGAAATATTAGATTGGCACATAAGTTCTACAAGTTTTTTTTTATGTTTTAGGCAGCTTTCAGGCTTTATATCTGACGATTGGAAAATGTTAGAGATCTGAAATTTTTGACCTTCAATCACCTTCTAACAGCAAGATATAAAGCTTGAAAGCTACTTACAACACGAAAAAAACATACAGAACTTGCGCGCCAATATAATGCTTCCAAAAGTAGCAACTTTAAGGAATTCTTGTGCTTTTCTTCTATCACAGCCCTCTTCTCTACTCAGCGTGGATACGCACATCTCCAGAAGCGTATACTTGAGTCGCGCGGGGTCGAATACCAGGCAAGAACTGTTTCTCTACATATTTTTGAAAAAAATGTTTCTCTACATTTTGTCGTATAATGTAAAATTTTTTAAGAAGACAATATTGAATTATCCTGAAATTTTTATCAGTCGTATAACTTTTTATGCTCTCTCTTTTGTGTAGGTTTCAACAAGATGGACTGAGTCTATCGCAAGATAATGCTAAACTAAGTTTCAAAATGTTTCTCTACAAAGTGAGTCAAAAAGCAATTTTTGAAAAAGTTTCCATGGTTTTCTATAAAATAATAATAAGAAGACTCAAACTTTTTTCAATCAGTTGGTTACTTGAAACAAGCTCTCTCTTTTTCAGGACGCGATAGGTCTTTAGGTTTAGCCGTTTGTATGCTGGAAAAGGTTTTATGTTTCTCTACACTAAAAAGATAAAGTGTCTGTAAAAAAATTTTTGTCATAAACGGACACGGGAAGGATAAGCATGGCATTCACAAGTGACATATTTGAGTAGGTTGTCAGGCGCTGAACAGAATGTACTATTTACTATTTCTTGTTCCTTTTTTTTGTTCCTCAGACACATCAATTTTTGTACGATGACTTGTTAAAAATCATAGATTTTCTTGCCTTCAGTCTCTCTGCCTCAGCAAGCTGGTAAGCTATCGGGCTGAAATTTTCTGTGGTAGTGGGACACACATAAAGGAAGTAAACGAAAAAAGAGACTTTAAATTTGATCTTTAGAAAACGGATTGCCAGAATAAATACGTCAAAAACATGATTGTACAACAAAAATACGATTCACTCATATATATATATGTAGATGTTTGTTTTTTTCTCTAGGGTTAGTTAGTTATTGTGATTAGAGAGAGTGTGTGTATGCAGTTCAGATAACATATATGTATGTGTGTGAGGACATTTTTTTAATTTTGAAATAAATAAAGGAAAGGTCGAACATCAGACCTTCTCTCTCTAATACTTCTTCTTTTAATATTGAATTTAATTTTGAATAATAAATATCATTTGGTTTTTGTACAGTCACTAAAGTTGTTTCTTGATTTTCATTCTAAGTCAAAAAAAAATAAAAATCCCAAAACTTATAAATTTCACATATACTTGAGCTTTTCAAGTTTGTGTTATTGCTTATCTTTGTTGTCATCGTTTATAAAGTGTAAATAATGATGTTACATCTTCAACCCATTGAATTAAACTACTTCTTGAAGGTAATGGTATAACAGAATAATTTCTAGCTTCATATGACCATAATTCATTTCGATTTATTTTTGTAAACATAACATTTATTATTGATAATAATTCCATAATACATTCATCTAAATGAAGATCTTAAAGACCTTTTAATAAATATTTATAACGACGACCATTTGATCCAACTAACATTCATTTTTTTGAACGAGTTTTTGTTGGTAATACTTGAACAGTTTGACCAACACTATGAATTGTATGAAACTATTAATATAGAAAAAAAAAAGCAAAAATTGTTGTTTTTTATATATAAATTTAAAATTTTTTTTTTCAAACTTGTCCATCTTCGTCTGGAATTGGTATAACACTATGTTTAATTTGTGCTAATTTTGGACTTATTTGATTCATAGCATGAATTGTACCTGATCGTTTACCAGTAGGATGTAACATTGAATAAAGCTAAAATGATTTAAATTTAAAATAAGAAATAAATGAAAAAAAAAATCTAATTGAAAGATTTTTTTTTTTTTTGTTTTTTACCTGTCGAAGTTGTAACCAACATGAATGTGGATTAGATAATGTAATAGGTTGTTTTAATTGTTCAATAGCTGCATCGATTTGTT